TATGATTAATAATGAGAAACCGACATCACTTCAATAGCAGATGCGCGCTACGTCACAGATTTTGATCCCGCCCCAAAAATTATTTTAAACCCGGAAGATGAAATTAGCTGACAAAAACTTAAAATGATCCTGTGATCCCCCACAATTAAAGCTGACAGGTGCTAACGTTGACTTAAGTGACGCTCAACAAACACATCTGTTAAACTTTTTTAAAAAGTACACCAGGGTGTCTTGAACCTTTAATATATCTTAATTTATATTCAACAGAAGAAAGAAACATAATTTTAGAGTAAACAATGAGGTAATTTTGCCCTTTAAATGCATTCATAAAACAGCCACTAAATAATATAGCTAATATAGCTGTAGCTTGTTCGTACGTCAAATAAAAATCCCATAATCATACATCTCCTATGGCAAACGTAACTATAAATATTTCACACTTATAGATTTTCTCTAATCGCTCCATCTCACCTCTGAGCTCGGTCTGTGAGCTCTTGTGAGAAATGTTGCGTAATTGCAAAGGTGACGAACCATTTTAACAGCTCCAGTTATGTGAGGAAAGCTCACTTACATGCCCACACTGCACAACTATCTAAAAACGACATCCTTTTCAATGCGGGGCAGCAGTGGAGACGTAACTTTTTTTTCCTTTGTATCTTTTTGTCTGTGGTTCGAGGAGGTGGATATTGGCTAATATGTAAAGTTGTGGAGGAAACAGAAGGATGTTCTGCTCCCAGCAGAAGCTCGGTTCAGGCTGGAGGTACTGTGGATACACCCACACTCACTCACTCGCCCACATGCTGGCTCGGGCCGTGTGCCAGACGCCCCTCAACCCTACACTCAGTGGCCACATGTGCCCCTGCCTGAACGCACACACACACAGAAATTCACGCAAAGTCTGAAGTGGTGCGAGTACACTTCTCAAATATATAAAAAGCCAGTATATCATTTCCGTTGATATAGACATATTGGGAGGTTATAATGCTGCAGTTTGTAGAGTAGCGGCCAAAAATAATGTCTGGATAGGATCTTGTACAATATGTGCTTTATATGATCCTTTAATGATCCTGAGGTTGAATTACACTCTTAATAAATGAGAAACATGTTATGCTGGCAAGAAGATAACACTAAGATTAAAAAAGGCAAACTACAGTGTATACAACAAATAGAAAAACTAAATCTCACAAGTAGTATGCACAGTGATGATAGCATAATCAGATGTTAGATATCCTTGTTTCTTTGTTGTAATCGATTAGCCGCCATTTTTCCACACAGTACATTTCTCAATAAGCATGTTCCCCCAGTTTTCACAAAGGAAACAACGAAATCACAGAGCAGAGCACACAGTTTTGGACTCTTTAAGCAAAACGTTGCTTATATATGCCTAGACAATAAAAAAAAAAATGGACAAAGTATGAATTGTTCATGGCCGGACATCACTTTTGGCAACCTCCAATCAATCATTTACTGAACTTAAAAGTAGTCCTATCATGACATATCTATTTTATGTTGTATGACATATTGCACCAAAATATATTGCAATAAATGATATTATTGTCATGTTAAGACCGTTTTTTGCCACTTATTCAATATGACAATATAATGACAATATAATATCATTATAATGCAAGTACACTCTTTCAAAGAACACATAATACTTTATTCTCACAAATATTTGATTTAATTATAATCAGTTTAACAATTGAATAATTAAGCATTGAAATCAGAATGTAAACACGCATATTCTAAATAAATAAAAATAAATGTTAACAAAAAAGTGTGAGGTAAAATGTAACAGAGGCTGCGATATCTGCTGCCAGATCTATTTTCAGTTGTCAGACACCTACATAAAAATATACTAAAGTAATTTATAGAAAATACAACAGTGTTTATTAACCATTATGACACCTCTAAATAAGATAAAAATGTTGTACAATCAGCTGAAGTGTTGCTAGAATAGTTTTTTTTTTTTTAATGTATGGGCAATATATACAGTTGAAGTCAGAACTATTAGCCCCCCTGTTTATTTTTTTCCCTATTTTCTGTTTAACAAAGCAAAAAAAATTTCAACACATTTCTAAATATAATAGTTTTAATAACTAATTTCTAATAACTGGTTTATTTTATCTTTGTCATGAGGACAGTAAATTATATTTTACTAGATATTTTTCAGGACACTTCTATACAGCTTAAAGTGACATTTCAAGGCCTAACTAGGTTAATTAGACAGGTTAGGGTAATTTGGCAAGTTATTGTACAATGATGGTTTGTTCTGTATACAATTGAAAAAAAATAGCTTAAAGGGGCTAATAAGTTTGACCTTAAAATGTTTTTTAAAAAATTAATAATTGCTTTTATTCTAGCCGAAATAAAACAAATAAGACTTTCTCCAGAAGAAAAATATCATCAGACATACTGTGAAAATGTCCTTGCTCTGTTAAACGTCAGTTGGGAAATATTTTAAAAAGAAAAAAAATTCAAAGGGGGCGAATAATTCTGACTTCAACTGTATATTGTTTCACCAAAAATGATTGAGGTCATGCCCATGTGTTGTGCGATAAGTCCATAGATTGATTATTGTGACAGGCCTACTTAAGAGCGTTATTTGAACTTGACAAAATATTATTCTAGATCAGGGGTGTCCAAACTCGGTCCTGGAGGGTCGATGTCCTGCATATTTTAGTTCCTACCCCAATTAAACACACCTGAACCAGCTAATCAAGCTCTTTCTAGGCATACTAGAATCTCCAGGGAGGCATGTTAAAGAAAGTTGGAGCTACAGTAAACTATGCAGTACACCGGCCTTTCAGGACCGAGTTTGGACACCCCTGTTCTAGATGAACAACATACTGTACATTATTGAAAGTATTTTTTTTTTAACTTAATACATTTACCTAGCAGGGATGCAATAAATGAATGAACGTAACATTAAAACATTTAAAATGTAACAAAAAAACTCTCTAAAATGTTCTTTTAAAGTTTTCTTTAAAGAACTATGGAATAAGCATATTAACAACACAAAACAGTGCAACAATCTGACAATGTTTTTTTTTTTTTTTGTCATTTACAGGTTTTCCTTTTTATACTTTAATTTTAAACTCATCTCATGATCAGAATTCTGTCTATTCTTGGTTTAATTTTGTTAATCATGTTTAGTATTATTTTAAAAATCTTTAAACAATATATAAAAAATTTTTATGTACCTGAGTGCTGTAAAGGTGTCAAAGTTTACCATGGTGTTGTAAAATCAATCTGCTGCAACTGACGCCATTGCTGTGTCATTAATATAACGTAAACACCCCAGGGGTCACAATCTAAACAAAAAATAAAACGCCTTTTTATTTGCATGTTTTGTTTTTTTAAGTAACTACTAAATACTATGTTTATCTTCTGTAGGTTATGAATAAAATATAATAATTCTAATTGGTTAATAACATTTATTTGACTTTTGGAAATCACAAAATGACTTCCACACATTGTCCTGTAACCCCCCCAGAGGGTCCCTACCCCCACTTTGGAAACCACTGAGTTAGAGAACAATTGTGATTAATTGATTGTACAAACTGTTTTAGGCCCTGTTTACACTAGTGCATTTTAGTTTTAAAACGGCGTTATAGAATGAAAACGATCCGCGTCCACACTAGCGTTTCTGAACAGCTCTCCGTCTACACCAAAACGACATCACGTGACCACACACACACTCTGGCATGCGCTGCAGCATATCCACCCAGATGAGAGCTGTGCTCTTCGGACTGTTCATTAAGGATCTCCCGCTGGATCTAATCTCACTATATTTGCTAAACGTGATATTTAATTCATCTTGTTGTCTTTATTTAACGACATATTCCCCGGCTTTGGTCTTTTGAATCTATTATTTGTTCTCGGGTAACGTGTTTTGGCTGAGCGCAAAGATAAGTTAATAATTAATGTAACCACGTAGACTACATTCTGTATATTGACTGATCGCTTGCCATTTATCCTGTAATGTATTAACTTATTGCACCTTATACTTTTATAATGGCCATTATTGATTATTAAAACTGATATTCAGCAAAAGAAAGGGTATGTTTCGTATTTTCAAGGAAAATGAAAGGAGGCAGTAATGTTATAGGCTCCATTTTGTTATAAATATCCATACAGTGAAGATGACGCTCATATTTGCAGCACAACGCCTCAACATTTCAGCTGTCTGTTAAGTTGTTCATTTCAAAATGAAAATAGGCAGTTCCTCATGTTTTTATTTTATTGTTGATGAAGTTAAACAACATAGCCAGGGTGATGTGAATGAGGTTATGAAGCACACTGTTCCCTTTGAAGATTTACCGGTCATGACCTCGGGAATTTGTTTTCCATATCAAACGAGCAGTGTGGAGGGATTGCGTAATTGTAGCAAAACTTATGCGTTTTAAAACTAAAACACATTAGTGTAAACAGGGCCTTATACTATTACTGTTTTACAATATTTTAGATCAAATAAGTGCAGCATAACATACTTCTTTCAAAAACATTCCCAACATTTTGTAAACCCTAAACTTTTTAAACTTTATTACATTTTATTTTTGTGAATAGCTCTTTTTCATGCCTAAAAATAATTAAAGAGAAAATATTTCCTTCAGAAAGAACACGATTTTAATTTCCCCCCGAAAAATAACTGCTTTGATTATTTAATTTGGTAGTCTGGGAGTTTGCAAAGTAAAATAAATGGTCCAGGTATCTCCAGATGACAACTGCAGTGCGAACAACGAATATAAATCCTATGAATGCCTTTTAAAAGGTTGTAAATGTTCTAAAATGTAACCACAAATGAAAATCAGTGACTCATGTGTGCAATTGATTTCACTGTCACCCCAAAGATTCACACCCCTAAGTGCTGTTGGTAATAGTTGCATCCCTTATTATGCAAATGCAGTAATGTCATGGCGTGATACACCAAAGCAGATCCTCCAGGGAGTGTGTATGTGATGCAGGAGTGAAGGTCAGTGCTGCAGGTGTGTGTATACCTCTGCTTCATGCGCTGATGCATCCTCCCATGCTGCACACACTGCTCCTCCATCTCCTCACAGCGACCTCTCAGCTTCTCAGCGCTCTCCTGCAGGTGCTCTCTCTCCAGAGACAACTGCTCCATCTCTGCTCTACACACACACACAAACACATGCTCAAACTGCACAGTTCCACTCTTCAATAGTGCTAAATAAGGATGCTGAACTCTAATAATGCATGATCTGGTATTGGATCAAGCAAACCAACAAAATACTAAAGCTGCGGTTTACAGAACATAAACAAAACAACACCTTTTTTCTGAAAGAGATTATATTAGTATTTTGGTTCTGATATAAATATTTATAATCAGTAATTTTTTAGCTTATTTTTTGTGCTTTATAGTTATTTAACGATGGCTAATGACTAGTAAGGGGTCACATGACATAAAAACAGCACACAGACTGATGTTTAAACACAAAACTAGAATTATACAAGTAATTCTATGCAAATGTCAACCTAAAAAATTATGTTTTCATCAATAGTAAAACCCTTTAATTTGTGTGAGCTTGTATTTTATAAAGCTGTAAAAATACTCAAAAATGTCTCTGTCAATGTTTTCAAAGAATTGTATTTGATTTACCCGTCACATAAGTGAAAATTTCACATCTGTCACATAAATAATGGAGAGGAGTGTCACATCCAAAACCAAGATTCTCCCTCATAAATGCAACAACGTAAAATAAATTATAATCAATCATTTGTGCTCTATAGAGAACCAAATATATACTCTTATCTTCTTGATTAGCAATAGTTCTTTTAGGTTGTGCAGTTAAATTCACAGATTTTCTGCCAAGTATGTTGTATACTGTAAACTTGCATACTTTTTTTGGTCACATCTATAACGCATGTTTATTTCTCTAATTGAAATTATAAAAATGTTTACAGATTGATATTTTTCTGGTCCTATAGCTCTGTGATTAGTTGTTTTGGAAAATATTTATAGATGTTTCAATATAATGTTAATACATTTTATACTTAACCACAGTATACTTATTTCTGTGAATTTATCTTTTACGTTTTTACTGCAAATCTCAAACCCATAACGATGGAATTGCTCATTTGTGCTTTTCTTTTTATGCCTTACTCTGTGTTTACCCAGTGTTTTCCTAAGCATCAATCGTGCCTTTTCCCTTGGATATTTATTTTTGTTAGTTTGTATTTCTGTAAATAATTTGTTTCTCTTTTTTTGCACCATATTTTGATAATTTCTCTTTGGCAGTAGTTATTCTTGCATATCACCTCTTGTACTCAACATCACCAAACAATTTGATCACAATCTCAATACCACCTCTTCCATTCTTAGATTAAAATATGAAGTTGTAAGTTGTATTGAAAGTGTACTAATTGTGATATTTTCAAGTTTCTATGTTTTGCTGCTCTACCTCAATAGGTTTACACCCATTCAAGATTAAAAAACAAAACATATGTCCAATAATATACACTGTATCATCAGCTCTTTTCTTGAAATATCTGAAACGGTTTACTCAAGGACCAGGTCACTTTATACCACTCCTTTCTAAAATCCTACTCGGCTCTGATTTGTCAGATGACGCAGTCTGTTGTGATTGGTCTACTGCTTAGTCAAAAACCAAATGACCATTTTCATAAGAGAACTTCAGCTCTAAAATGGTCATCAGCGCTGGTAAACATGAACAGTAATGATTGTTTTAATCCTCAGTTAAGCCTATTTACCCCCAGTCGGTACAATCCAGTGCAGTACGGTACATTTCATGTCGTTAAACCCTGATCTGACTTGCAAGTCAAGCACCAACAGTACCAGATCATATTGTTCGGGTATAGCAATCAACATCAATTAATCTGTGTAGGGGCATGATGGAAATTACTAAAAGTTGTAACTTGATCTTCATGGAGTCTGCCATAAAGTAGCAAAACACAATACATTACCTGACAAAAGTCTTGTCAATCCCAGTTGTAAGAGCAATAGGTAATAACTTGACTTCAAGCAGATCATTTGAAAAAAGTGGCAAAAGGTAGATTTTTCTTATGAATCATCACAAATATTGCAGAAGACCTATTGGAACATGCATGGACCCAAAATTCTCACAGAAATCAGTCAAGTTTGGTGAAAGAAAAATCATTGTTTGGGGTTACAGTCAGTATGGGGCTTGCAAGAGTGGATGGCAACATCAACAGCCTGAGGTATCAAGACATTTGTGCTGGCCATTATATTAAAAACCAAAGGAGAGGGCAAATTGTTCAGCAGGAAAGTGCTCCTTCTCATACTTCAGCCTCAACATCAAAGTTCCTAAAAGCAAAGGTCAAGGTGCTCCCGAATTGGCCAGTCCATTCACCAGACATGAACAGCATTGAGCATACCTGGGGTAAGATGGAGGAGGAGGCATTGAAGATGAATCCAAAGAATCTTGATTAACTCTGTTAGTCCTGCAAGAACACTTTCTTTGGCATTCCGATGACTTTATTAATAAGTTATTTGAGTCATTGCAGAGATGCAGTCCTCCAAGCTCATGGAAGCCATACACAACATTAATTGTTTTTTTCACGGCACCATGATGACCAAGTCATATTTTATTCTGGTAAAATAAGCTTTATCTTGAAAGCTTTGCTTTTCAAATAAGCCACTTCTGGGGCCAAATGATTAACTAGAAGTCAAGTTATAATTTGTTGTTCCTTAAACTTGGGTAGGCGACAAGACTTTTGTCAGGTAGTGTATTTGTGTGTGCAACCAAACCAACAATGTAATTAATGCAATAGTAGTCTACAGTAGATAGGATAGAGCTGTAGATACGCACATCAATAAAGCATAATTTTTGTGAAGCTATATAACAATAAATACTATTTTTACAGAACTGATGGTTGGGTTTAGAGTTAGGGTAGCGGTAGATGTTAAAATACAATAAATGGGTAATTTAATGAATAACATAAATAATACTCTCTTTTACATTATAATACTGTTTTTACATTACTGTGACGGTTGGGTTTAAGGTTAGGGCAGGGGTAGATGCTTTAAAAAATATAATTAATGGGAAATTTCATTCATTCATTCATTTTCTTGTCCCTTTATTAATCCGGGGTCGCCACAGCGGAATGAACCGCTAACTCATCCAGCAAGTTTTTACGCAGCGGCTGCCCTACCAGCCGCAACCCATCTCTGGGAAACATCCACACACACATTCACACACACTACGGACAATTTAGCCTACCCAATTCACCTGTACCGCATGTCTTTGGACTGTGGGGGAAACCGGAGCACCCAGAGGAAGCCCACGCGAAGGCAGCGAGAACATGCAAACTCCACACAGAAACGCCAACTGAGCCGAGGTTCGAACCAGCGACCTTCTTGCTGTGAGGCGACAGCACTACCTACTGCGCCACTGCCTCGCCAATGGGAAATTTAATAAATAATATAAATAATTCTCGTGAACTTCGGAATCAACAACCATATCTGATCTAGCAACAACCAAATACAACATATCTTGCTTTTAGCTTATCAATAGGTGGCTGTTTTTCACAAAAGGAAGCACTTTGAGCAAATGCTACATGTTTTCACACAGCCCAAAAAAAAAAAAAAAAAACACAGGTAAAGATTACAGCAGTATGATCTGGTACTGTTGGTACTTGGCAGTGGAATTACAAGCCAGATCAGGGTTTATATACATGAATTGTACCATACTTGATCGATCGATCAATCCACCCATCCATCCATCCATCCATCCATCCATCCATATATCAACCAATATATCAATCAATCAATCAATCAATCAATCAATCATTCTATATATCTATCCATCTATCAATCCATCCATCCATCTGTCTATCAATATATCAGTCAATCAATGTATCAATCAATGTATCAACCAATATAACAATCCATCCATCCATCCATCCATCCATCAATCCATCCATCCATCCATCAATATATTAATCTATGAATTAATCAATATATTAATCAATCAATCTATATATCTATCCATCTATCTATGCATCCATCCATTAATCATTCAATCAATCTATCCATCAATCTATCCATCAATCCATCCATCCATCAATCTATCCATCCATCCATCAATCTATCCATCCATCCATCCATCCATCCATCCATCCATCCATCCATCCATCCATCCATCCATCCATCCATCCATCCATCCATCCATCCATCTATCTATCTATCTATCTATCTATCTATCTATCTATCTATCTATCTATCTATATATCCATCCATCCATCCATCCATCCATCCATCCATCTATCTATCTATCTATCTATCTATCTAAAAAGCATCTAAAAAGTATCAAGGGTCCACTTTAAATATTGCAAGTATAACAGTTTACCAGGTAGTAGTTGAGAAGCATTTTGTTTTGTTTTTCCATTTTTAGTCAAATGAGGCTAGAAACAATGAGTAAAAGACAGTTTTAGGCTCACTTTAGGGGTTACAGCCAGATTTGAACTTGGGACTAGGCAATAAGCCACAGCTCCAGTAGCAGTTAGTTAGGCAGAAACGAATGTGTGGCTCTTTCCTTAACAAGACCTCACTCCCTCTGCACCAGAAACACCTGAGCTCTCTGCCATCAGGTACAGCCCTGCCAAGTCAACTCCATTAGCACTGTAAACACCCGCCTCTCCAAACTTAAAGAGCCTACACGGAAGACATCAGCTCCCCAAAACGGATCTTTGATTGAATGTGTAAACTTGTCCAAATAAAAGTCAACAGCCGACATGGTAATGGCTCGTGTTTGATTAGACAGTTTATTATTACAAGTACAAGCACATCTCTGGTGCACCAAGACACAGAAGCAAGTTTCATGCAAGTCTTGAGCAGAATGAACCTTGTGGCCAGCGTGCTGCGTGCTCATCTGCCTATTGGTTTAAAACACAACACTGAACAGAAGGCCACACTGTCACCGGATATAAAACAACAGGACAGGGAGATCAGTAGAGGGAAATACATCAACAGAATGTATTTACAGTCCATGTACTGCTCCTGTGAGCTCATGAGTGCTTACATGACTGTGTTTTGAATATCTGTCTATGGTGTTAATGTTAGCAAAAACAAAAACATTTCTGTTCACTAGAATGAGCGTCAACACTCAAGTGAACACTCAAAACAAGGGAAATGCAACATATATAGTTGAAATCTAAATTATCAGCCTTCCTGTGATTTTTCTTTTTTAAAATATTACCCAAAATATGTTAAATTGAGCAAGGAATATTTCACAGCATTTCCTATAATATATTTTCTTCTGGAGAAAGTTTTTTTGGTTTTATTTTGATTAAAATAAAAGCAGTTTTACATTAAAAAATAAATAAATAAATAAATAAACATTTTAGATCAATATTATTAGCCCACTTAATATTTTTTCGATTGTCTACACAAACCATTGTTATATAATGACTTGCCTAATTACCCTAACTTGCCTAGTAAATCTAATTAACCTAATTACACCTATAAATTGCACTTTAAGCTGAATACTAGTATCTTAAAACATATCTAGTAAAATATTATGTCATCAAGGCAAAGATAAAATAAATCAGTTATTAGAAATTAGTTAAAACTAATATTACTAATTAAATATAACTAATTAAAACTATTATTTTTAGAAATGTGTTGAAAAATATTTGCGTTAAAGAGAAATTGATAGAAAATATATAAGATATAAAATATATTAAAATATATATAATTATTAATATATATAATAATAATAATACGTTTTTTTCTTAAAATATGTGTCAAAATAAAATGTCACCAAAAATCAATCTTCTAACTCCAAAACACAGAAAAAGTTATGGACAAATTAAGAAACAAAATCACCCCAGATTGGATGAAAACACCCCCAACAGTACACAAGAGTTACTAGTGAAGTCTTTAAATGTCACTTTAGGCTCAATACTAATATCTTGCAAAATACTTATTAAAATATTATGCACTGTCATCATAACAAAGACAAAATAAATGAGCTATTATGTTTAATAATTTGTTTTAAAAAATCTTTCTGTTACACACTTAAATTTCAGTAATAATTTGGATTTATTATAAAAGTATGAGAAAAGTAAAACAACTCTCACTGCCCAACTTTTGTCAACTCCCACTAAAAATGCTGTAAACTGCATATGGTCAGAAATACGTGGTGCATCCATCTTCTTCAGAGGTCTTCTTGAGTTCAGCGTGCGGGCGGAAGGGGGAGGGCGAGCAGCAGTGGCCTGTACCTTCCCAAGCTGGGCTGACTGACCATGGCAGATTGCAAGCTGCGATGTGAGTAATGCGCTTTACACTGTTTTAACAGCTGACTACCCCAGAGGCCTGAGGTGAGAGGCACATGTGATGGGCAGAGAGCAAAGCCTGCATGGAGGACAGGCTGGCGTGTGCCAGGGTACAGTGACAGCTCCCTTACTGGGGCACAGACTAGAGCAGTATGGCACGGAAAGGATGCCACGCTCTGGATAACACACCGCGAGTGGCTCTGCGCTGAATGTCCGACTTCGCGAAGATACACAATTCACAAAGCGTCAACAAGATCAGACAGTTGAGAAGACGATGTCAGGCAATCTGCATTTCAAACATGGAAACTGATTTTCACTGATCTCGCTGCTAGGAATAGCACAGTTTCAGTCAGCACTATGTTTAGTTCGGCTGTAAATATGCTAGATGTGACACCTTTTGACCAACAAATCGTCACTTATTCACTTCTGATGGCCACTTGAAGGTATAGTACACTCAAAATGAAAATGGGGTGCTATTTTACACATCCTGAGGTTATCTGAGGTGACTTATTTCTTCAGTACAATAGTAAAATAGATGAAACAGTGGTTCTTGGGGATTAATAAAATGCAAGTCGATGGCTTTCAGGATTTTGCCAGTCAAAAAAATTCAATTCATGTGACTTCTGGAAATACATGGAGATCTTATAACTAAATGCTCAGTCTACCATCAAGAGATTAATAATTCTTTAATAATTGAATAATTAATCATTTGTTTTGTATGTAATCCATTTGTTTGACAAAAGTTTTATGAATTAATAAGAGATGCAGGAATCAGATCATTTTATTCCTAACAAAATCAAAAATAACTCAAATCTTACCCTTGTAAAAAAAAAAAAGTGAATGGTACTGATGGTCCCATGAAAAAACACTGGAACTTTCTATTCTACCAAATATTCTTTGAGCTCTATTTTAACAATCTAAGCGCAAAGTCTAAAGCAGCGCCCCAGTGCATGGTCTAACAGGGTTGTGCTTATTCTCTTAATAAATTATGGGTGGGTTTTGAGCATAACATGCATTAAACAATTATAGTCTCCTCTCTCTTTCCCTTTAAAAGTCAGTTGAGTCGCGTCATGATGCATTTGCTATGAAGTATATGCAGAAGCATGCTAATAGGACTTTTAATTTGCCATTAACCTGGGTTAAGTGCTTCCGGCGAATTGAATGCCAATGCAAAATCTAGTGCGTTTAAGGTCTGTTTTCTTTAAAAATCAGCGATCTCCAGTAGCTGAGTGATTTCCGATTTAAAGTGGGTCTCAGATTGTACAAGAAGCACTGCATTAAATTACATTTCCCCCACCATGTCTTTATAATATGAGCATTTATTTTACCCCAGTATATTCAATGGAGCTTCTGCATTAGCCTGCCGATTCTGACGGGCGCGTGCGAGTAAAAAGCTTTTTGTCTCGTTTTACGCTTGAGTAACTAAATAAATGCTAAAGTTTATTTAACTGAATGTATTTTAATGACATTACAACATCGATGCTGTATAAGAAACCGTATACAATGAGAAAAAGTTTACAATAACAGGTCACCGGAAGTGTATCAGCATGGGAACAGCACTAGCTCGGCATATACCCTATTTACATGGCAAACTTTGTAAGTGTAAAAACTGAACGCTTCACTAGCGAGAAAACAGTTAAACAGACCATCTGCAGCGCGAGAATAAAAAACGAGCCTCCTCCATTCACTTTTTTTACTTTCTCAATACTATTCACTATACACCTTTTCTTTTGTAGCAAAGGAAACGGTGTTGTATGCACTCCACTTAAGACATCCGTTATCCTACAAATTTCATTTTGTTTGTTAAGATGTTTTAAATCTATTTTTAAATTCAGTTCTAATTTCCAGAAAACGAATAAACGAACAATAAAAACGTAGTGTGGTCAAAAAACTGCATTGTTTTTAAAACAAACATAAATATTCATATAATAAAATACTACTGACAACAATAATAACATATATACAAACACATATACAAACATTATATAAACTGAAAAACATTATTTAACCCCCCCCCCCAAAGTTGGTCTACTTTAGTTCCTCAAAATAGCAACACGCAGACCAGCACACCCATGAGTCCACAAAGTAGTGCAAATGGATTTGCTACTTAAACAATGTGGCGCAAAACATAAAAATTACTGTTACGTTGGTCTGAAAATAGCAACGAATCATGCCAAATGGGTATATGATAAGTGCAAAAGGTTAATCAAAACATTAAAACGTCCTTTACCCTAAAAAAATGTTCTTAGTTCTCTTAATAACTATTGCCTAAATGGCTCCTTGGAGAAGCAAATGTGGTTACTCAAAACCGTTCATTTAGAATCTTTATTTTTGTGGCCTAAGTATAACCGTATGTAAGATACTTTATAAAGCTGCGGTCACACTAGATTTGTGAATTAATTTGGATGGTAGTGTAAAAAAGGCGGGATAAAACAGGAGAATGTGTCATTACCACAATAAACAATTGTTTGATTTATGTTTTACATTTCTGGACTGAGTGCTCATGTTTTGATGTTCCACTGAGTCTCACAAAATTACGTGACACAAATTCACAGGTCAGTATTCACTAAACTTCAGCTTTGCTACACAGTAAAATATCTGCGCATAGACCTTCATTTCTGGTCTGATGCATTCGTTCGTATAAGTATGAATAAAAGTCAATGGAATAAAAAGTCTTGTGTGACCACAAATGTGGGTTTTGCATTGCATTTGACTTTGTACTGAATTTAAATAAAGATGTTTTGAGAGGTGTAGGGTAGAAAGCAAAGTAAGCAGAAACCTGTGTGCCACATTAAAGTTCTACAAAAGGCTGGGGGGCAACTTTCATTGTGTTATATATTTGCTTGACAATTAAATCTTGCATTCATCATTTGTCAATTCCCACCTCCTCCATTCTTCAACCTTGTTATAGTGGTATACGTGATCTTAAATGAAAGTGCAACATACCTGCTGCTCTGAGCCAGTTCCTCCAGCTTTGCCCCGAGTGTGTGACATTCCTCCTTCAGTTTCCTGATCAGGCTGTTCTGAGCACTCAGCAGAGCATCTGTTTCTCTGACTGTGAACAGATCAAGTATTGACTCATTAACACAGCAAACACAGATGTGCTGAAATACATGCTTTATATAACACAGGTACAGCAACACAAAACATTGATGCTCTTCTTAGCCCTAAAAGGGTTCAAGGTCATGTGTCAAACTCAGAAACCAGAAAATGGGGTTATTTTTATGTCATTTATTTAATCATAATATGGATTTTAAATTTATGTAAGGCCTATTATTTATGCGTTTTCTACTTTACCTTAAGAAACATGAACTCCACAGGTCTGTGTGAAACCTGACTTTCAGAATGATTTGAGATGACACAAAAGTGCATCTGGGATATTAGTGGAAGAACACCTGACATGACTACTCTCACAAAATAACTTGTTTGAAAAAATGACATTGAAATTGCGTAGAATGTAACATTTAAAAAAATTTTAATAAAATTTCTTTAATGGTTTACTTTAAGTATTTTTTATAATTATGTTTTAGGAGTTTTTAACTGTTTTTTGGGATAGGACAGTAGAGGATAGACAGGAAAGCATTGGAAAAGCAAAGAAAGGGGAAGGATCAGCATAGGAACTCAAACCAGGAATCAAACTCAGGTCGAGCCCCATGGTGCTATATGTCTGCGCACTTAACCACAAGGCTATTGACGACAACATTTCCAAGTATTTCAATTTAGGATATTTAATGGAGTTTCAACTTTGGTCAGGTATTCCAGTGAACAGTTTGTGTACAGTTCTGGTCACTTCTGTCTAAATAAAAATAAAACTAAACATAAAAAAAATAAAAATAAAATAAAATAATAATAATAATAATAATAATAATAAAATAATAATAATAATAATAATAATAGCATTTTCAGATTTCGGGAAAAAAAACCCGGAACGCTTGCATTTTGGACAATGGTTGCTGGGATTTTCTTATTGTTTGTCTTTAGAAAAATTAACTTATATAACTAGTATAACCTAAAAAGTTTTCAAAAATTTGGAAGCTGATACAAATCTTTTTTCTGTATAACTTGTATTACCTCCTATTGATATACCATTGTTGTTACATGATGTACGTTTATATTGTATGAGTAAGTAGATCCATTAACTTTTGTGGGTTTTTTTATTGTTATTTTTTTATTTTGTTTATTCTATTTTTATTGTTTTACTTTTCAATTATTATTATTATTATGTTTGGTTTAGATTTATGTTGTACATGCTAAAAGCTACTAAAATTAATAAAGACAGTGTTAAAAAATAACAGCAGTTTTAGCACTGTCCTGAATAATATATTTCACGTAACATATGTTTACATATATGCCTCAAGACAAAATAGCAACTGAATTTTAAAAAAGAGTACATGCGCATGATTCTTAAAACTACGTCTGTGTCGGTACCTGGATGATCCTTATTTTAAGTTTTGTGATAGTTGTTCATGAGCCACTTGTTTCCTCAAAGCAGTTAAACTGTGCACTGTTAAAAAAAAACTCTTTATGTCCTGCACATTCTTTACTTTTCAAACATTTTCTGCATGTATAAACCATTTCAGTGCAGTCACTATATAAATTTGAGATTTATCATTTTATACAGAGAGCAATAACTTTTAAATTAGAATGAGGTGAACAGGTTAGAGTGCATTTTTTGTTCTTCATTGTTCTTAATGCATTGTTTTGCTTGTAAAAATAAATTTTAATAGTTGTATAAATGGTCTCTAAATCATCCTTAGTGAAAAAAATGGATCTGAAATACATAGCCGCTAGAAAATCTGAATCAGTGGACAACTTGATATTATTATCTTGTGAGATATACAGTTGAAGTGAGAATTATTAGGCCCCCTGTTTATTTTTTTCACTAATTTCTGTTTAACGGAGAGAAAATTTAGAGAGAGAGATTTTTCAAGACACTTTTATACAGCTTAAAGGTACATTAAAAGGCTTATTGGATAATTAGGTTAACTAGGCAGGTTAGTGTAATTAGGCAAGTTATTGTGTAACCATGGTTTGTTTTGTAGACTATCGAAAGAAAAAAAAAATAGCTTAAAGGGGCTAATAATTTTGTCCCTAAAATGGTTTAGAAAATTAAAAACTGCTTTTATTCTAGCCAAAATAAAACAAATAAGACTTTCTTCAAAAGAAAAAAATATTATCAGACATACTGTGAAAATTTCCTTGCTCTGTTACACATCATTTGGGAAATATTTAAAAAAGAAAACAAATATCAAAAGGGGGCTAGCAATTCTGACTTCAACTGTATATAAAGTGCTGAGTAAATACAAGTACACCCCTCACAAATTTCTCTTTAAAATGCATATTTTTAATAGAAAGCTATACAATATTATGTTTGTGCATATACATTAGATTAGTCAGTACTGAAGCCAAATCTAGAGCTTATCTAACAAAAAAAAAACCTCACGATAATGGTCCAAAAACTAGTACACCCAAATTTATATGTTATAGAAAAATATTAAATACAAATTTTAAAAAGAGGAAAAATCAAGAAAAGCAAAACAATGGAATTTTTTTTTTGAAATGTTATAGGTTCAATATCAAGGTGCAATATCTTGCTTGAATTTAATTGTATTATCTTTCCATTTTTAAATATGTTTGGTGAATAAAATATTATTTTAATAAATATTTCAGTTTAATAAATCTGTTTTGTTTAAATGCAGTAAAATACATCACCTATATTCACTGAGAATTGAATAAAAATATTTATTTTCAACATGGGGTGTACTCAATTATGCCGAGCACTGTATCTACAGAAAGATAGATGTGGTATGTGAATAAGCTTATTTAAAAAAAGTGCTAAATAAAAAAAAAATAGGATGCACTTTTAGAATTCCTCTTATTTGGATAAAATTACAAAAATTTTCCAGATTCTGAAAGGTGAATGTAAAACTGTATAAACGCGAAGAAAAACGTGAGAAGGAAGGCAGGCAGAAAGCAGGGAAGCAGTGACTACATGGATGCCGGTGTTCATTAAATTTAGTTTTCATCAAGTTCAAAAAGTGCAGAAGCTGTTGAAAGTTCACCAAAAGAATCCTACTGGGTTGCTGCGCTTTGAAACAAACTGGGCATGTGCAGGCCACAGAGAAAACACCACACACAAACCAGGATAAAAGAAATAAACTGGACTCTAAACAAACAGGCCAGAGTCAAAAAAAAAAAGCGGTATCATCTAGAGGCGATTCTGTCTTAACTTCTAAAATCAATCCGTTTAGAGTTTAGACAGAGAGGGAAGGGGGGAGCAGGACAAAAATAATTAGCTATCGAGAGTGGCCATTATATGCTTAGAGAGAGAAGTGGTCTGCAGTATTAAAGGACTAATTCCATAAGCCCGGAGAGCTTCCTGCTGAGCCTCTGATGCCATTTCTCTTTAGACAACATGTGTGCCGTGCAGCCGCGCCAGAAAGAAGCCCTTTGTTTTCTCCGTGCTTTGTTCTGGCAATCAGCATGCCTCAAGTTTCTGGAAACACAGGTAAATAAACTAAACTCGCCCATCCAGATGGTGCAACAGATGTGAGAGCAGCACTCTGAAATCAGCAGACAGTGGGCAGCGCTAGCCCGCCTCCCCCCCATTTTTAAACGCTAACTAATACGTAGCGCCGAAGCTCTGGAGCGCCGAGCATCTGCTCCCTTCGGCCAGCCAAAGGTTACAGGTGTTCCTGATGCCGTCCCGCACAGTGTGGCTCACGCTCGGAGCATGCGGGGGTGAGGCAGGCGGAAGGGCGGGAGAGGCGCTTGTTCTGGCAAAGGGGCAGTACACCGGCGAACACCCACCACTCTTTTCGTGCTGCGCCTCCATTTGCTGGAGCGTCTGTGTCAGCTCACGTTCGCGCCGCTGTGCCTGGAAGGTCAGAGCGGCCATGTCCTCACCACAGCAGCGTTCTGATGCCTCCTTCTCCTGCCTGCAGAGTGAGAGAGAGAAAGAGAGAGAGAGAGAGAGCAAGAAAACAGAGAGTCAAACACATGTAGATCAGTCATGCACATGAAGAGCTGCTTAAAGAGAGAGATTTCTGGGCCACTAGCGTCACCAAATGGTCTTGCAAAATTTAAGGTTCAAAACAGGTTTCCTGGTCACTCCCCTCTGTCATTGGTCAGAATTTTTTTTAAAAAACCTGCTATGCTGGACTGGACCAGGATGCTTATACAAACAGAATAATGCTATGAGTTAAGAGTCAGAGGGCCCTGTCATACACCCGGCGCAATAAAGGCTGATTTATACTTCTGCGTCAAGCGCACGTGTATGCTAGGGCGCAGCCTACAGGTTGTCGCATAGCCCTACCCTGTGGTCGTCAGCGTCGCTGACACACACCTCTCACAAAATGTAACTACACGTCGCAACGACACTTAGTGCAAACTCTGTGATTGTTTCGGCTTGGTAGCGCTGACGAGTCAGGGCGGGACCAAGAGCTGCGCGAGCCCGATGGAGCTGGAGATTGTTTTCAAGTGGAGTCCCGTGAAGGAGCTCCAGATGCAAAGTTTTGTTTTGTGTTTACCTCATGGTTAAAGTTGTTGCACGTCCGCCGGTTCCTGCCTCAAAATGAGCGAGTTTGAGCCACTTGTACATGAAGGAAGCGTTCAGAAAAATAAAACACCAGCGAAGAAAGTCGACATAGAGGACCATAAACACCTCACTGCCAACTAGCGTTCCGGAATCGTTATTGCAGAACAACAGAAACAGCATGCAGAAGTATAAATGCACAGCTACGCGCCTTGCATGCCCCGAGGGTCATGCCGATCACTTGACGCAGAAGTATAAACCAGGTTTGAGGCGCAAGACTTGTCACGATTTGTTGCTATTTTCAGACCAGCACAACCCTAATTTTTACATTTTGTGCCACTTTGTTTAATTATCAAATCCATTTGCGCTACTTTTTGGACTTATGGATGTGCTAATCTATAAAAGAGGTGTGTTAAGGCACATTGTTGGCATGTTGCTATTTTGAGGAACTGAATTCAATTTAATTCAATTCAGCTTTATTTGTATAGCGTTTTTACAATGTAGATTGTGTCAAAGCAGCTTCACATAGATGGTCATAGTAACTGGAACAGTGTAGTTCAGTTTTTAGTGTTTAAGTTCAGTTCAGTTTAGCTCAGTTCAGTGTGATTTAAAATCATAACTGAGAGTTCAAACACTGAAGAGCAATTCATCGATGCGTAGCTCTACCAATCCTGAACCATGCGAGCCAGTGGTGACAGCGGAGAGGGAAAAAAACTTCACCTGACAGGAGTGAAGAAAAAAACCTTGAGAGAACCAGACTCAGTTGGGCACGACCATTTTAATTTCTCCGCTGGCCAAAAGTCTTGTACAGAGCTTCAGTCACCGTGGTGTCTGAAGTAGACCACATCATTGACCAAGTAAAAACAGGTCTAAAGTCCAGCACAGAGCGCGTTAGTTATGTGCCTATGCAGGTTCAAAGACTTAATACACACAGGATGTACAGCAACTAACAAATATCTTTACATATGAAAAAATAAAGGATTAAAATGTTACCAAAAATATTTTATATAAAAAAACACTACCTCTATGCCACCTTCATGTCAGGGGAGATTTTTTCAGTTTATTCATGACAATTCTTACTGATATTTTTTACGTTGACATTTTTATTAAAATGTTATTATTATTATTATTATTATTATTAGCAATATTATTTATTAGAAGCATATTTCTATTTGTTTTAGTAAAAACTTGTTTAAATTTGTCCATCTGTCGGGGTTTGAAGATGTATGCATCATCATATGAGGCATAAGAATACGTGTATGTTGACCACACGTCATTATCATTGTTTATTTATTTGTTGTTGGAAATTAGAACGGAATTTAGAAATAGTTTTGAAACAAATCTTTGCACTGAGCAAATGAAATGGAATATTAAGGCTAATGGATGTCTTCAGTGGAGTGAGCTTCCACCATTTCCTTACTCTAGAAAAGTAAAGGAGTAAAGTAAAGAGTAAAAGTAAAGAGAAGTAAAGAGGCCGTATGGAGAGGAGGCTCATTCTTTATCCTCATGCTGCAGATGGTTTGTTTAACTGTTTTCTAGCTAGAAGCGTTCAGTCTTTCCACGCCATGGGATGACGCAACTGAGTCTTAAAGGGAATGTGCCTAGATCGTTAAAATAAAGCCCAGAGTGTTTAAAGCAGGGGTCACCAATCCTGGTCCTGGAGGGCCGGTATCCCTGCAGGGTTTAGCTCCAACTGCCTCAACACACCTGCCTGGATATTTCAAGTATACCAAGTAAGACCTTGATTAGCTTGTTCAGGTGTGTTTGATTAGGGTTGGAGCTAAAATCTGCAGGACACCGGCCCTCCAGGAACAAGTTTGGTGACCCCTGGTTTAAAGCTTTGCAGGGGAAATCAGTCTTTAAACTACTAATAGTTGCATTTCCAGGAACTGAAAACTTACTTTGTTAAAATGTAAGCAATAGTACAGAACAAAACAGCACAAAAACACTACAACATTACTGTACACAATACTTCACTAAACTTTTAAAGGCTTAGTTCACCCATGTTTAATTGTCATCTAAAATTCTATTTAAAAACATGCCTTTATGTTATTATTTAATTTTTTTCAAACCTTCAGTTTCATTTTGGGAAAAGCCTTCTTTTATGTCTGTATAATGAAATTCGGAGTCAAATAGAAAAAAGAAAGTTTACATGCTTAAATGACTAATAACTTTACAGGAGCAGCACCAAAGCGCAACCAAACAGACTTGTCACAATTTGGTTTGGTTATGTTTTGGCTTTTAGTGACGGTTTCTGTTTATGATAAGTTCAGTAAAAAAACAAAAAACAAGCAAAAAAAATTTATAATATAGTCAAATATTTTACTGCATAATATATATAGTAATAAACTTCACTGTGCAAATTAAATGTAGGTTAACCACTAAGAAACAAAATGTTTACACAAGACACACTATAGATGCAGCACAATGAGAAAGTTATAGACAGAACAATTTCTCCAATGTTTATGTTCTGAAGCATTACTGATTGAATGCTCATCAAGTTGGGCACATGGACATAGTCCATTTTAGTCATAATATAGTTTTATCTTTAAGAAGGATGTTTTAATCGACAAGTCATAACCTTCATTCACCTGACGCGCTTCTCAGATCTCCACACGTGAAAACTTTTTAAAATAACAAATGATTAGGAACTTAAACAAAAACAGCGACGTGGGCTTTTGATCCCACGTGCACTAGCACTTTGATATGCTCACACACATCTTTAGCACTCAGTGATGGGTCATACAGTTTACTTGCGCTGACTGCAAGCTGGGTATCAGAATGTGGATATACATTCTAACATGCGCAGAGTTAGTTTAGAGTGATTAATGGAAGGGGAAAATGCAATATGCAATACTTAAATGCGGTGGCACAGTGGCTTAGTGGTTACAACTGTATATACAGTGAAGCTCATTAATTACCAATCAGGATGCATAATGACTTATTGTAATAATTATTTTTATTAAATAATGTATTTACATTTTTTTATGTACAATTATTATATATTTGTTATATAATCATTTATTATATAGTTCAATCTCATAATATATAATTTTAATGAGACTAAATTTATTCAGTGCCTCACAAGCAAGAGGATTGCTGTTTCGATTCCCGATTGGGCCAGTTGGCGTTTCTATGTGGAGTTCGAAGTTCTCCCTGTGTTTGCGTGGGTTTTCTCTGGGTGTTCAGGTTTTCCTCACAGTCCAAAGACATGCACTATACAGTAGGTGAATTGGATGAACTGAAATTGGCCATAGCGTATGTGCATGTATGTGTGTTAATGACTGTGTATGGGTGTTTCTCAGTAATGGGTTGCGGCTGAAAGGGCACCCGCTGCGTAAAACATTTGCCGGAATAATTGGTGGTTCACTTGTAATATGTGAGGATTTTTACAGAACAAAACTGGTCCGTGAACTATAACGGTTTCTACAGGTTGCATCAAGTCAAATGTAAGACTTTTTAAAACCTTTAAAAGACCATTTTAAGACCTTAATGAATGAAATTTCATATGTACACTAGGCTAAACGTGAACGATTTTTTAAATGGTCAAGATAAAACTATAAAAAAGCTTAAAAAAAGAAATGTTATTGTATGAAAGATATTTAAAACATATTAATAAGTAATTAGAGTTAATAAATAAAAGTTTCTTAAAACTTTTATTGAAACATATTGTTAGAGATCAGATGGCCGTTGACCCGATTGTGTATAGCTTTTCATGAATATAGGAAAATTAAGGCCTGTTTAAAATGATTTAGGAACTACAACACAATATTTCAGTGGATTTAAGAATTTTTAAGGCCTACAATTGGGTTTTTAAAATTTAAGACATTTTAAGACTTAAATCCCCATAGAAACCCTTCATAACGGCAAAAAAAAACTGAACAAACAAATAAAATTAATGTTCATTAATCGTAATAGGGGTAAAATGTTTAAATAATTGAGCACTAGGACACACACATTGCAATATCAATGCTCAAACAATAAATTGTGCAGCCCTACATTCTCATTCCCAGTTGCCACATTTTGACCCACTGGCGTAACTTCATATGTACTGGGTAGCCATTTATCATCAATTTTCAACCCAAGACTTAAAGGTTGTTGGAAAAGTAATGTAATAGTGTATAACAATGTAATTGTGATATATGTATGACTTTCAGTTAACAGCCATAATTATTTATTTAGACAAATGTATGCATAGAATCATAGAACAATGTAGTGCCCTGCAAATTGAAAAATGTTGCCATAGAGGTACTTAGTGCAGTAAATTGAGACTACAAGGTGTCCTGATAAATAATGAAGTGAGAATGTGTTGCATTTACTTGCACAACAAGTTTTAATGTAGAAAAACAAATATTATAGTTACAACAAATCTTTCTCGTCACACTACATCTTGTCACTCCACCA